CTGACACTAGTTTACGGGTAGTTTCCACCACTTCTTCTTACATGCTAGCATACTCTGATTCTGGCATTATCGCAGAATCTGTATTTTTGAGGATATCCCCAAAATCAGTTTTGGATTACTAACTCATAATAAGTAGATATTCAGTAGGCACCCATCCATTCTGCAAAATAATTCATTATATTGGCATTCGATGCTTTAAAAGTCTTCTACTCGCCGCTTTCTGCAGCCGCTTCCCTTCTTCACAATCTGTGGCAATACCTGAAGAATTGTATAATGAACTGGATCTACTACTATRAGGGGTAACACTGCCGATAACAGGAATTTTCATATAAATCAAAATTATAAAAGAAAATAATATTGCAGTCATGAAGCAATGATATTATTTTTGTCCCGAGGGCTCCTGCGAAGGTGTGGGGTAAAGAAAGAATCTCAGTTGATGTGACGTTAAGACAATTGCTTGTCTTTTTCTTATTAGTTCCAATTGTGGACTTTGATCAAGAAACTCGAGACGAAGAAGTCATCCATTATGTGTACAACTAGTCGAGAAGTGATCTCTCTTTTCTTAATCACTATGTCGAATCATTGTCAGGCAGACCATTAATTAGAAATCTGTATTGCTCAAATGTATATTTTTAATACTTAGTTTTCATCATTGATGTATGTTTTCATGTAATGGAAGAAAGTCGAGAAAAATATACCAGCGCGCGTCCTTTTATGTTATTATTAGCGCGCGCCCTTAGATAATTGCGGATTCCCTGTGGTATTTCGTCAATCGCGAGACGCTCGGAATAGGAGGATCTTTGTTTACAAAATTTATGTGAACTGATGTGTGCATCAGGTAGCGTTTCGTCATAGTTCCCCAAGTGAAAATACTGAAAAGTGCAATGATAACGCTTGATTAAGGCCGGTGTCGCTTTTGGCAAACGCTTTCAACATTTGCTTCTCATTGAACTCATTCGTTCGATTTTGTTAAACAGCAATGTTTTGAGATGTTGAACGCGTATGCGTGGGTATTTATGATTGAAAAACGTATTGAAATGATGTTGAAGTAGATAAAAAGCTTGTAAATTTTTTCATCGGTTCAACATTTCTATTTTAAAAAATGTTAAAAAACTCATACATAATTAATGAGCTACTATTTGGTCACATGCATGGACCTTTATATCTGATAAAACACTCCTTATTAGTATTCTTTATATAAAGAATACTAATAAGGGTGACCTTTATCAGATATAAAGGTCCATTACCCTAGCAAAGGTCTCAGGTTTGAAATCTGATCATTGACCAATGCAGGATGTCAACCGATTTCAGTGAACAGCCAAGAGCGCTTCTATTTTACTTTATGCGTATTCAATGTGGGATGACAAGAGTGCTTTGTAAAGTGATTCGCGCATGATCAGTTTGCCCCATTTATCTCTGAACATWTTTGTACGGCAATTTCTCCAAGAATTTTAACGGATTTGAGTTTCAAATTAGTGTTGGAGTTTTTTAAGCCGTTTAAAACACTCTCTCTCGTGTTTTGAACTATACTTAAAAGATGTTGAAGGCGCTTGCACTGTCACTTTACTACAGTTTTTTTGCACTAGTTGATAAGTGTCTTGTGTCATCATCTATCGTCACAAAGCTTATTTACTTCTTCGTTTTACATGTCATTGTAAAAAAACAATCGTGGAAAAGAAGTTAGTCAGGGAAATAAATCTGCTAAAAATGGCAATAATCAGTCATTTACCATCATAATAAAAATCCTATATTCTCTTCCTCAAAAATCGCCTAATCCTSGGATAAACATCGGGCGTTGCGACTGTTTACGAAAGTAACAGACTAGTCTGAATCCTGGCGCGTCTCGCAATTATAACCTGACAACACTGGGAATCCACAGTTTATTAAAAGCGCTCGSTTGTACATTAGCTYTTACGCAAACTCTCTAAACAAAAAAATGCTAATTTATAAACATACWTGCTTCTCAAKTAACAGCTGGGCTGCCTGTCGTACTAAGAGTCGACAAATATTTAATGCCCGCGCTTGGGAAGAAAATTGAGCGGGTCTACGATCGATGAAGAAACACTCGTCATCCCATGCAGCCATTATGGCTGTGTTATTCCATGATGTATTTCACGTGAAACATGGCCGAAGTATTTACTATCATCGTTGAGTTTCAGTCACGATAAAAAAAGTACTTTGTATCATCAAGGCAATGACTTAAAACACTCACCTAGTAAATCTTCATAATCGATGATTTAATGGGTTGGCTAGGGGTGCAAGGATTTTTATGACATTCTTTGCCGAGCTAAGCCTAGGCTTTTTGGTGTTTTGTGCCTCTTCTAACCCTTCAAGAGGATTTTATACTTTGCTTTGAAACTTTCAGAACTTATCTTAAGCTTTGATATCTATTATGAATGTTKTAATCTATGGCTATCCCGAGTARAAATATACTTGYGTTATTGTAGGGGAACGATCTGTCMCYCACTGAGTAACTCACCCGCACACTTTCCTGTAAACTGCGTTGTTTACTTATTGTTTACTTGTTGACCTATTAATTCATTCAGCTCAAGTAAGAGTTAGTTACCGAGAACGGAGGCATTACGCTATATACWGCCCGAGGGCTGTATATAGCGTAATGCCGACGTGCGAGGTAACTAACAAACTTAGTTTTCAATTCACGTGGTTTTCGYAAAAACTGAATAGACTAAATGAATGTTTTCTTAGTTGGGATTCGAACAATAGAATCCTCTCCTCTTGAGACTTTTTCATGGACTGTTGAAATTAGTTTCCTTAAGAAAACCTGTTCATGCGAAAGCGAGCAATCGGAATTTGAATATTGTTATCAAATATTCTTAACAATCATTCTACAAACAATGTCGAACAGTGACGACGATTTGTTTATAGCTCAAAATACGTTTGACAGGTTCCTTGATATTGACGATTTGTTATCGAATTTGGAACTCCGCATGCCTCTGCCMGCAAATAACGATGACAAAGTCTGCAGATGAGAAAAACGAGAAAATCACCATAGTTTTTGAAGTTGTTCGCTCAAAGAAATACGAGGGAAGGATTCCAGAAGGAACAAAGTAAAGTACCAAATGGTGTGCACACGTGCTTGGATAGAATGGGCCGAGGAGCGGAGAAATACGAACCACACTATTACTTCTGATTCATACACGTTGGTCAATTCCGAAGTATARATTCTTTTCAAAGTAACRAAGATCTTGATTATTGTTGTCTTATTTATTGTTATTCTCTGGTGATGAACATTATATAGAAAAGCTGCGGGACTCGAACTTATTACGCTCTCAATCTCCTCAAGTTTTGCTGGCCACACTGGTCTTTTTCAGGGGGAAAATCGTTTAGTTTACTTAGTTTATTTCATATTCAGCAGGGAATGGGGTTGATGAATTGAGTTGAATAGCTCGTTATAAATTCAGCGGGTGATATGAGTGATCCCGGTCACTCATATATAGCCCGCTGAATTTATAACSAGCTATTCAATTCAATTCATCAACCCCACATTTCCCTGCTGAATATCAAATCTTTCCCCGGCTTTAAGTTTCTATCATATATACAACCCTATAAACAACAAAGAAAACCTAGTTAATTGGAAACTAAGTAGTATTAATTTGTACTAAAAGTGGACCTGAAGCAAGAGGGTATTGAATGCTTCATTTGTATCAATTTAATTTGCGTAGAGTGATCGCACTTAATCCGTGCAACTGTACAAACTAAATAGTGATGTTTAGGTGTATTTAGTAAATCGTGCATGCGATACGCAAATTAAATTGAATTGATTCAAATGAAGCATTCAATACCGTCTTGCTTCAGGTCCACTTTTAGTACAAATTAGAACTACTTAGATTTTGTACAGTTGCACGGATTAAGTGCGTTCACTCTAC